AGATTCTCTTGCCTCAGCCTCCCAAGTAGCTGAGACTACAGGTGCCTGCCAGAATGCCTGGTTATATATTTTTGTTTTTGTTGTTGCAGTTGTCATTGTTTTAGCTGGCCCAGGCCGGGTTCGAACCTGCCAGCCTCAGTGTACGTGGCTGGCAACCCACCCACTGAGCTATGCGCACTACCACGCTTGGCTAGTTTTAGAGACATAGTCTTACTCTTGCTCAGGCTGGTCTCGAATTTGTAAGCTCAAGCAATCCACCAGCCTCGACCTCCCAGAGTGCTAGGATTATAGGCATGAGCAAGTGCGCCCTGCCCAAACCAGCATTTTCTGACTCTCGAATTTCCTTGCTCTGCCACACACTCCTCTCTCACCACCAGAGAAAGGGCGATAGCATTCGGTAGAAAAACAGAGTGACAGTATCTTTGAGATTTAAAACAATCGTGTGAGATGCCCCCAGCAGGGGTACCAACCTCTTCCCACACTCCTTCCCACTTACCTTCTCTCTCTGGACCAGCTTCTTGTAGACAGTGTCTGGGAAGGACCTCAGGGGACAGAACTTGCCTGTGCCCTCAGCACACATGAACACACCATTCTCATACACAACACGCCCACGGCTAATGGTGACCAGCGGCACGCCGTGGCAGCGCATGTTCTCATACAGGTTGAAGTCTCCTCCCTGTACCTGGGTGCTGGCTGAGATGGTCCTGTGGGGAGGCAATGGTGGAGGGAAAGCTCTGAGAAGAGGCAAAGACGTCACAGCTCGATGGGAAGGAATGCCCTGTAAAGGCTGACTGTTATGGGCTGAATTGGGTCCCCTGAAAATTCTTATGTTGAAGTCCTACCCCCAGTACCTCAGAATGTGACTACATGTGAAGATAAGGCCTTTAATGTGATAATTCAGGTAAAATGAGGTCAGGTAGGTGGGCCCTAATCCAATCTGACTTATAGAAGAGGTGTCCTTATAGGAAGAGGAGATTGAGACAGCAGATGTGTGCGTGCTGACAACTGTCTGCAAGCCAGGGTCAAACTTCTCCATGCTAGGAGCAGTGCAAAGATTATATGCTTTTGGAGTTCCATAAAACCCCAAGTCCCTCCAGCCCTGGAGATTAGAAGCAAATTTTACTTTGTGGCTTCTGGGTCCCACACCACCACGTCAGCATCAGCCCCAGGGATGACACGGCCCTTGCGGGGATACAGGTTGAGTATCTTAGCTGCGTTGGAACTGGTAACGGCCACAAAACGGTTCTCATCCATCTTTCCTCCAACCTGAAACATCGTGAAAGTGTCAAGTCAACTAGGCTCTGGATGTGTACCTCCCCCTCCCCCAGGCACCGCTGATGCTGGCCCAAGGCCTGTTAGTTTAGATGGTCAGAACAACAGTACTAAAGAGGACAGTGCTGTGGGTACTATCTCTGATGGGTCAGTACACTTGGCTTGGCCCCATGTGCTCACTTACTCCTTTCTCCTTTTATTCAGCAACAGCGGTGAGTGGGCCCTTGTTCCAAAAGGCTGCCTACCTGGTGCAAATCGACCTCCTGTTTATAAAACCAGCTCTGCTCACGTGCCTGCTATGGATGAGCTGGGAGCCTCCTTTCATCTACAAAGGACTATATATTCCACACTCTGGAAAAAATCTTATTGCCCCACCCAACCATGAGAGCACGTGGACCCTCTTCAAGGGGGATTTCCCCAGCCAACTCCTGGGC